TGATTCCATTCACCTTTTCATCACCCTTGTTCTAAGGTAGATTAGAGTAGCCTGTGTTGGTCTGCACACAGGCGCGCTCTCTGCACCCTACCCTGAACGGGCACTGTGGGGAGCTGCATTCCTTTAGCTGTCTGGCATCTCTGTCCTTCTAGGAGAACATGCACCAGAGCTTTTCCCCAGGCCTCAGTGCCAGGAAAGATGGGCTTGTCCTAAAAAGTAATTTTAAAAGTCTATTTTAGAGTGATTTTCAATCTTAGAATTTTTCGTACTTTTTCTTTCCTGTAGTCATTGGAAAATTTAGTGTTGAATGTGTATTTCAATTATAGCAGTTGTACAATGCCTTATGGTATGAAATTTTGTGTTTGAACATTGTATTTACTTTAATTCTTTCTCATCTGAATTTCCCTTCATTCTGATATTTTTACCTGTGGAGATTTTTAATAACACATTCCACTTACATTTATTTTGATCAGTGTTTCTGAAATCCTGTGATCCTGTAATTATAGTGTATTACAGCTTAAGCAGGCTTAAGACACAAACTTAATTTATTTGTTGCCAAACCAAGCTAGTCATTACAAAAAACTTTTTAAAAAACTTTCTTGGTTTTGGTTGTTTTTGACTTCCAACATATAATTTAGTTAATCACTCTACTTAGTTTGTGGCATGTTGTCAGGATAGAGACACACAAATCTCTTGTTCCACCTTCTTTTTCCTGGATCACCTTTCTCTACTTTTCTACATGCATGGAAATGTGCCCATCTATTCTGTATCTTCCTTCTTCCTGCTTTTAAACTCAGCACTACGAGTCCTCCCTCTTCCTGTGTCTCATTGGCTCTCACTGCTCATCCATATCCCATAGCCTGCATACAGCACTCTTAGCTTGTCATTCCCAGAAGAGCGAGCACTGTTGTCCTCCAGTCCTCCCATCCCACCCTGTGAGCCTCGCTGCAGGTCACCCCTTGTAGATGGAGCTCGAGTGACTGCAGACCTCAGCCTTCCTGTTCAAGAGCATTACCACCCCAGCTCTGCACTCTGGAATCCGGGCGGGTGGGTTCCTGTCTCCCTGTGTCCTCCCCAACATCTGGGGTTATTCCCTTCTCTAATGTCTGTCTTCCTTCTAAGGCACAGTGGTGTCTTTTTAAAATTTATACCTCCAGAGGCCAGGGATTTAGCTCAGTGGTTTCACCGCCTGCTGCACAAGCGCAAGGACCCGAGTTTGATCCCCGGTACCAAAAATAATAAAAAAAGTAATTGGTGCCTCCAAAATTTGCATGTGAACTTGAGCACTTGCTGAGCATTTGGGTACTTACTAAACTTAATACTTATTTGAATTGCCCATTTATGTACTTTTCCATTTTTTCTCCTTTATTTCTCTTTATGTTCACTTCAAATTCTTTACATCTTTTAGATATTAATCCATTTTTAATATAAATGTCACACATTTCCTTGAGTATGTTTGATATTTTGAATATTACATGTTTTACCTTGAGTTCGTATGATTTTTTAGCATCTTCTTGTATCAAAAATAAGTTTCCTTTTCCAAATAGTTTTCCACACAGTTTGGACTGTCCTAAAATAAGCTATTAAACAGTTCACACTGTCTCTACTAGATAACCATGTCTATTATACATCAGGGTCTTATAAGAAAGTGTTTTTAGTAAAAAATGTTTATTTTATGCTATCATGTTAGACATATTTTCTGCAGGTCAATCATTCTATGTACTGAAGACTGGATACATAAACCAACAAAAATAAATATGTAATTGTTGGTTATTATTTCTTTACTAAATTTATTTCAATATTAATTATATTTGGAATTAAACATCCCAAGGCCTATGTCTATCTGTTTCCTAAGAAAAGTGTGCAGCCCTATGTTAGTACACATGGAAATGGCTGCTCTTTGCTAACCAGCTACCAGATGTGCAGAGTTCTTTGTTCAATTACTTTTTTATTTGACATTATGGAGCATATTGAATCAATCTTTATAACTAAGAATATTAAAATCATTTTTAGTAAGAAATTCTGCATTTATAGAGATGGCCCATAAGAGTATTTGATAGAAATGATATATTACATACCAGCCTCTTGACCAAGGAAATCTGGGCTGCAGACACAGTAAAAGCACAGCTGGCTGAAAACAATTCTGTAATCAAGACTGGATGTTGGAGGTACCCACATTAACTAGAGTGGAAAGACTAAATCATGGAAGGATGTCAAATACAAATTTCTAAGTCATTTTTTATTTTTAGGTATGCATGGTCTATGGAAGACACATTTACCTTTCAAGGTGGTTTAAACTACATCATGTATGGCCCTCCAAACTGACGGTTAAATAACTCTTATTCCTGACTTTGTAACGTGAGTTCACCACACCAGGGAAGACCAGAATTCTGAGGCAGGCAGTAACTCCTGCATGCCGGGGGGTGCTGGGGGCAGCCCCATGCTGGCTGTCAGGACTCCACACCCCGTGTTGTGGCCTTGTGTGCATTTCACATCCGTATAAAACAGTGTTTCTCAGAATGGAACTTTGGCTTGTGAAAGAGTGGCCAATTTTCATTCTAGACATAAACACACATGCACACACACAATTCCGTGTGTGAAGATTTGCATTCATTCGTTTTTGTTTTGTTTCTTCCTAAATTGCTGCTCTGTGCCAGAAGCCAGGCCAGATGACTTCCCTGTTTTTCCTGTTTAACTCACTCACAGGAGACTTAGAGAGAGACAGGGAAGGGAGGGCCATTGTCACTGAGGAGGGTGGGTACGATTCTTTCAGGTGAAAGTGACTCCTAGAAGCACCATAGCACCCCTGTGCCTCACGAGCACACGGATGTTCACATACATTTTCCTTTGTGTTCTGAGCATTTTATTCATATGAATAACTGAAAGAAGAAAGGGAAGGGATTTGCCCTTAAGGAGTATATTATATGGTTATAGAGATGAAAGTTTCAAGAAAAACAGTTTAAAAATGAATTACAGTTTGTGTGCTACACACGTGAGTGTTGCTGAGTTACAAAAGGAAGGAACAGGTCTCTACGAGCTGCAGGGGAAGTGGTTATGAAGAAAGTGAGTGTTTAAGCCAGAAGGAATTTTTTTAATGTATGTAGAGTGTAGAAAAGGATTCACTAAGAAAGGGAAAGAAAGAACAAGACCAGAATGAGACCTTGCAGAGGGATACAATAGCAACGCAGGGAATGGCTGCAGGAGTAACTGGGAAGGGGAGGTGCGATTCTAGAAATATGCTGTTGCCCTTCTCCTACCGTTAAATGTCAGGTGTCTTCTCGGCATGATAAATGACACACATGAAAATCTCCATTATATATTAACAAGAATGAAATGCTGCACACATTCTTATGCTTATAGTTTTTATTCAAATACAAAGTAAGTTTATTCAAAGAAAAATAAGTTTATAAATAAAACATAAACCAACCTATACATCATTAAAGTGCTTATCTACCTTGAGAAATTTTTTCACGTAGTTGTCTTCATGAATATAAATGGGGTGCAGACTGCTGTGTATGGGCATGTGTGTGTGTGTGTGTGCATGTGTAAAACATACTGCCCCCAGCACTGCACCTCGTGTGGTGACTCAGTGCACTCAACATTCATCCAGTGACATCACACTTCTGCATGTATTGCCACATACACTTGCATTTGGTTTCCATTTGGCTGGAATGTGTCATTAACATGTTAAACCCATCTTTGTTCTTCTTCACATCTGGGAAACATTAAGCCTCTGAAAATGGTTCAGAATTCATGATAAACACAAATACTAAGGCTTAGGTTGATCTTTCATATGATCCCAAATACAGCTTATTAATTTATATTGAATTCTGTGATAACAAGCTCTCTGACTTCAGAGGTTCTTACAGAAAATTCATTCATCTTCAGGAATGCAGTTATTGGACAGTCCTGGCTGGAGAAATGCTGTATTAAGCTATTTGTGGTCTAGATTTCGAGCTGAGGGACTTGGTTAACTCAGCAATTCTCATCTGCTTGGGGAAAAGGTGGAGATCTCAGTAAGTTCACTATTCAGAGCAGATACACAAAGTGAGCTTTAAAGGGAGAAGTGGAACAAATGTTTGTTGACAGGAAAGGCAAAGGTGGCACAGAAAGTTAATGGTGGACTGTTAATACATCTCCGAACACTATGCAGCACGTGTGGTGGTGACAGCCAGCAGGTGTGCTGCTGGTGCGGGGAGGGATTCTTCCCCCACAGGGTCTGAGGGAGTCTGATGAGAGAGACCATCGCAGTCATCCTTAGGAAAGCCCCTGGGGGCAGAGGGGAGAGCAGAGTTCCTGAAGCAGAATGACTGGGTTTGCACCAAAAGGGAGAGAGAAGGAAGTCTTGGGGAGTCTGCCGCAAAGCTGGGAGATGGTCCTGAGGGATGAGAGTGTGACACAGCGCCAAAATAATGAAGAGAAAGACGCCTCTGTCAGCGCCATCACCAAGGAAACATTGAAAAAAGTTTGTGGTGCCCGGGATGTGCAGACGTAATGACAGAATTGGTGACTAACAGTTCAGGAGAATTGAGATGCGATCCTCAGAGGCAGGAAGCTAAGAAATGGCGGCGGGTGAAAATCACTGCAATTACAGGTGTTTTCTGGTGAAGGGAAAACACGTGTTTTAATTCATTTTTACTAATAGAAACTAATAGAACACAATTAGACATACCATCTTAGAGATGTTAGTTGAAATAAGGAAGTAGAAGTGTTATCAGTTGGAAATAAAGGGTGAGATCAGTGGAGATGGAGAATTGTGCCCTAGAGGAGAAGGGAAATCTGCAGGGAACCTGGGAAGGAATGAGGAGGACCAACAGGACAGTGTAGTGGCATCTGCGCGCGCGCGCGCACACACACACACACACACACACACACACACGGGCCTGCACCCTTCGCAGTGTGGACAGGACTCAGGACGTGTGTGCACAGGGTGCCTGCGGGCGGACGGGCCCTGGCGGGGTCCTCCCGGGCAGCTCACCGCACTGCGCGCTTTCTTGCAGGTGCGGACGGACGACAGGGTGCTGAAGTTGGACCTGGGGCTGCTCTTCCTCCGGCTGCGCAGCTCAGACGCCGGGACCTACTTCTGCCAGGCCGTGGAGCACGGCTTCGTGCACACGGTGCGCAGCCTGGTGCTGGACGTGCTGGAGGAGCGCGGCGTGCACGTGATGTTCGGCAGGGACCCCCGCGAGGCTGGGCCCCACAGGGCGCGCTGCCCGGCCCCCAGCAGCCTGGCGCCCGCCGCCCGGCCCTGGTACAAGGAGTTCCTGCAGCTCCTCGGGTACAGCAACTTCCAGCGGGTGGAGGAGTACTGCGAGAAGGTGTGGTGCGGCAAGAGGAAGACAAGGAAGCTCAGGGTGTCGGCGTCCAAGTGGAAGCTCCCCGGGACCCCAGACAAGAGGCCGCGCGCCCCGCCCGAGCGCTACCGCCTGCCCCGGCACGCGAGGGGCTCCTGAGCCGCTGCCCCGCGCAGGAGAGCCTGAACGGCGGGGGACAAGCTATTCTGCACACTCAGGAGACCGGACACACCTCTCCTACTGTTAACTGGTTTTTAAACAAGCACACTGCTTCCTAGTTTCACATTTTATTTATCAGAGAAATGGCCATAGCCGTAGTTTGGAGCTTGAGCTCTTTCCATGGAAATTGTCATTTTAGCCTCAGAAGACTTAAGATTATTAGAATGTTGAAGGAAACAGAGAATGTGCAATCATGGAAAATATAAAAATAAGTGTTTAAGGTTCCTAAGTTTTTGCTTTCCACCATGACCAGCAGCTCTTTTAACACTCTAATTGGACTTTCTGTCCTCTGCATGATATGAATTATTGTGCTAAAGTTGTCTAAGTCCAGGAATCTCAAAAGCAGGTGTGTTGCGATTGCTGTGAACGAGGAGAGAACATCATGGGCCCTTTCATGAAACGGTCCCCCACCTTGTGTGGAATCTTCCTGTTTTACAAGAGAATGCATTCTTTAAATTTCACCCCAGTGTGGAAAGAAGGAAATTGATTCCTCAGAAAGATGTCAAAGATGTCCACACCCAGAGTATGGATAGTTAGAATTCTCACTGAAAGATTTTTGCTGCCCTCTTGTGACCATAAAAGTAAGGAAAGATTTGAAAGCAGCGTATGAGTAAATAAATATAGCTAGCCCTTTTCCAGAAAGAGCCAACTGAAATGATAAATGTTAATCTTATGTCATGCTTTTAGATGGAGATAATGTTTATAGATAATTCTTTACTTTCCAAGTCAAAAATGATATCACAATACTGAAACTCCATTAAAACTCAAACTTTGAAGCTTTCTAAAAAATCATCCTTGAAAGTTTAAAGATATTCTGGAAATATAATTTATTTGTGAAAAATGTTAAAACATTTTGTTCTCAGATATCAAATTGTCTTCTGTGTTATATGACCCAGAGGGAATTGTTTCACGAGTTCAATTAACTACTGAGATATTCAGAGCATTTTCACTTTTGTCTTAGAAACATTGCCAAAGTTTACATTTTTGAGAATGTTTATTTCTCAGAGGCTTTTTTTTCCTATTTTAAATATTTAGCAGTTACCTTTCTGAAATATAAATTTGCAAGACATTTGCATTTAAACAAAAGCAAAAGCAAGTGCATTACACATAAAACAATTATGCATATTTATTTACATGTTTAATGTATATATTTATCTTAGCTTTCAGAGTTATAGGCTATATAACTAAGAAGCTAAACTGTTGATACTTGGTTCTTGCTGACAGCCTTATTCTAAAATTAGTAAGTGCATAAATATCTCTGAGGAAGTTGAAGAAGTGCTTTGGACAGTTCTGCAGGTTTCAGATCTACTGGGTACAAACACGTGGGAAATGGACAGGCACTGAAAAGCCCAGCTGCTGTTTGCCTCAGGTCCACAGGACACCACTGCTGCCACCAAGACTAACTGGAAACAGCTGGTCCTGAGAGTTATCTTCTTAAACTGCATTTCAGTAAAAACCTGCCCAGTTTGGGAAACTGGAAGCATAGGCACAGATCACAGGCCTTTTACCAAAGTTTATATCCAAGATACTCAGAAGGTGATCAAGTAAGTCAATAAAGGACAATTTGTTGACAATATTCTTTCATTAATACATGAGAAGGAAAAACAGGACCTTCTACTTGTGAATTCTAATAAATGAATAAGGCAGATTTGGCATAAGTAGCTATCATTTTAATCTCAATACACACAGGAGCAATTGATGACAGTGATGCTGCATGTGAACTAAATAAGGCTTTTATTTAATGACGTGTTAAGAACTAATGCATATACACTATTCAACTAAAGTAAAATTACTGTTAACCAGAATATACACATTTTATGTAAAATCTAAAGGCAATTCTTGGAAAATAAATTTAGTCTCAAGTGTAAAAATGCTCAATTTGAAAAAAATTTGATAAAATTTGGAGGGCTCAGGTCCAAAGTTAGGGAGAATACTAAATTACACAGGGGTACATATATTCATGTATCGTGTACCTGGCTACTTGCCTATTTACAGTAGTAGCTGGAGAATGGGAGAGTAGAGTGAGGATGAAGAGGACAGAGCAGAGAGAGAGGTTTTCAAAGATGTGTCCGGTGTCCCACTGAATTCCCCCCCCCGCCCGCCCCCCCGCACATTCGCGCCCACGCCGCTCCAGGAGCACGAAGCTGATAGAGAATCTCAACCTCCCAGCCCAGTTCCAAAAGGACATTGTCACATGGAAGTCCCCCCTTCTTTAGCCAGAGAGGCCTCCAGACTAAAACGGAGCTCCTCCTCACCACAAGCGGAGGCGCCCTCCTCCCTCAGTGCTGCTCACTGCTGAGCTAGAGAGCGAGATTGCTTTGGAGACTTTCAATCTCAAAGGCATTTCCTTCGTGATGCGGCAGGCCCTTCCCATCTCTAACTTTCCACATTGCCATCTTTTTCTTTTGTGCTCGTTACCGAATGTTTCAGGTGCAAACCTATCAACTTGGAGAAACAGGGATTCAAAATAGAAAAGAACACTCACAAATCTAGGAAAAATGCAAATAGAAAGTCACTGCCTGTTTAGTAAAAGGCCATTCCGTAGCTATGTTAGAGCTTTATCTTCCTTTCTAAAAACAATTAAATCATTAGGAAGTTTTCACTGTTTAATATTTGCTGTAGGGTGTGTGTAGGGTTTTGTAAATCTTCATAGTGATTATGAATATCTGTAAAATTTGTACAGTACAGTAAATCTTTTGGAGTGTTAATGTTAAGCATGAAAGCAACACAGCAGCTGTTGTCCTTAAAAATGAACTGTCCTTTAACCTGTCAAATAAAAAAGGGTTTCGTGTTGTGGAGATACCTGAGATCCCGGGAGAAAGTGCTACACTTGTCATAACACTAAGGGGTCCATTTATTTTTCTCACAGCAGAGCACCACACTGAGTTACATTTTAAAAGAAGTGCTTATTTTTCAGGCCAACAATTGCTGCCTTTGAATCGACAGAAACAACAGGTTTTTCACAAACACTCGGTCATAGCAGCGTTATTTAAGCTGGTATTTTTTTCCCTTGGGAAGATAGCTTTATGTATTGCCTTTCATTACAATCTGAATGTGTTCCATTTGTGTTTAAATGGCTTAGTTATAAGCTACAGCACTATGCTAGGGTATTTTTGTCTCTATGGTATCCTGACACTTGCTCTGTGGGGTCCAAATGATTTCCTTTCCCTGATCTCAGCTGTGAGACATACTCACGTCTAGTGGCAATGCTTCTGGGACTGATGACAAACTGGATCTACCACGCCATGCCACACAGTTTGTCTGTACCATTATGGACAATTTCTTTTGGTTTGAATCATATGAAAGAGAAATAAATATTCATCAAACACTTCATGCTGTCTGAAGAATATTTTCTATGATTTTTACTCATTGAATTCAGGGTTTCTATGGCTAGCATAAATACAAGCATGCAATGTCAAACTTGCAGGAATTTTTTAAAAGTTAGAAAAGCACTCAGTTTTCTTTCTTGAAAATTTCTTGCACATTTCCTAAGAGGACGACTTGTAGCAGTTGGGTTTATTTAGGCTACACCATGTTTCTAGGACCAGCAGCCTTTGAAGGAATTTCCTTCAAAGTGTCACCATTCTGCGAAGAGATTTGGAGCATGAATGCTTCAGAGCGGCTATGATAAAACCTCTGTGATTTCTGCAGGTCTCAGGTTCTAGTTTCATGTACCGATCTGCTGGTTTTTGTGAGCCATGGGGAGGCCATGTAAATGAGGTCTGGTACTGACCGAGCCTCTCCTGAAGAGATTTCTCTCAGAGGCGAATCTTATTCCCTGAGCAAAGAGTCAAACCACTAGAAAGGACACATTTGGCCCAGCCCTGCGATGGTGTCTCTGAGAGCTCTGTGAGGTAACAATGACATTTGTGGTGACTGCGTATCCATGCTTTACGCCCACTCATGCATAGCATAGTGCATGATAAAGCCTTTGAAACAGCTTTTTAGACACAGGATCTTAGTAAGAGGGAAGATAAACCACTGTGGAGGCTGGAAATCTCTATTAGTACAGTGAACAGACATTGCTCCCGGTGTTCCTTGTTTATTGATTGGCAGTGCTGGGGACCCCAGCCTTAACAGGCCAGCGTGCATGGTCTACACTCAGCAGGGACAGGGCATCCTGTTCCTCAGACTCCACACTGAGGCACGACCCAGCCCAGGGTCCCTGCAACCGAGACTGGGAGACAGGGAAGGTGCAGTGCATGCAAGCTCCTGGGCCTCAGAGCACACAGCACAGAGGGTGGAGGGAGGGGGCGCTGTGGCCCTCAACCCACACAACATGAGGAGGGACGATGAGCGCCAGGCCGCCCGTGACCCCACTGGGGCAGGTCCAGACCCACCAGGCCCTTGGCTTCCAGCCCGCACCCTGCATCTTTTACCCCACACCTTGAGGTGGAGGCCAGTGAGGAAGAACGCACATCCTCCAAGGATCCTGCAAGAGTCTTGGTCCAAAGCCCAGGGCCACAGGAGCCCCCAGGAGCCTCAAGACCAACCTGGCACCAGGTGGGCCACACCCGAGCCTCAGCTCATTTCCTGCCTTGGGGTGGACCAGGGTTCCCGGACCCTGCCAGAGAGAGACTGCCGGCTATGTGTGAGACTCAGGTTCACCCAGATCAGTGCTGGCCTCGGTGGCCTGAACGTCTCTACCCTACCTTCCACAGCGCTGCTATCACCAGGTCGGGGAAGGGACTACAGGCACAGAGGAATCCCCAGCTGTGCAGGGTTGCAGGAAGGACAGGCGCACACAGAGCCAGACTGAAGCACCGGATGCCCTGTCCTTCAGTGCCAGAGGACAACACACCACAGCAGGAAGCATTGAGAGCATTCAGAGCCCTGACCTCACTGGCACTGGAATAAGGAGCTGGAAACAGACCAGGCAGTGCTCAACATGGGGATGCTCCTGGGGCGTACATAAAACACCTAATTCAAGAAGTGGAGCTCTTAGCTTGAGCTCCAGTCAGTGAGCTGAAATGGAAAACAAACAAAACAAAACAAAGAAGTATGTCAAAGCAGAGAAACATGAAAGATATGCAAGCAATGTTTAAGACCAAACAAATTCTTGAGATGAAAACTCCTTTCAGCAAAATTAGAAACATGAAGTCATCAACAGCAGGAAAGACAAACACACAAAGAAATGGTGATGTCAAGGACAGATTATTTGAAAATACACAATTGAAGGTGGAAAAAAAGGAGAGCAATTTATTTTTTTTTTGACGAACACATTACTGTTTTTTAATATAATGATAATTGCATGACATCAAGATTTCATACATGGTAAAATGATTAAAAGTTTCCAAATGTATGTACTTGCTGCATGTTAAGGTCAAAATATAAGTTAAGGATTTGGTTTTTTTCTTTTTGTTTTTTTTTTGTTTTGAATTTATATTAAATGTTTTTTTTAAAGGCTGCAACATGAAAAAAGAAGAACACAACATGGATTACATTATGATGACCAAGGCAGTGTTCTACATGACATAAATAAAAATGAAACAAATGTATACAGTAAATATCCCAGTGCTGAATACAGTACTTGAAATTTAACCCAAGCTGCATATGCATAAAATGATCTGACTACAGGATTATGCAAAATAAATTATTTTGGAACACCAGAATGTCAACCATTCTGATTATAAAGTGGCTTATTCCCCTAACGAGTATTTTGAGACAATTTCTGTATGACATGAAAAGAACTGACATAACACTTAAATACTACAAAAATAGTTGAAAACATATTTGTAATGCAGTTCTCTATAAAATATACAGTTAATCTTATTACTTAAAAAATTAAAAAGCTAAAGACCACCCTGAATAATGATGAAAACCTCAACAAAGAAAAATGCTCATCATTTGGATATCACTGGCAGGAAACTGATAAGATTTGGTTGAGGGCAACAAGGAAGGTATCTAATGAGTCATTCATGTAAAATTCATTCAAAAATGTTCATAAAGTTGTAAATTTCTGCTTGTAACATCTTAAAATATTATACCATGAACATACTTTCTACTGTTTAACTGGAGGACAAAAGAATATCATGAAGAAAGTGTTTCTCAAAATAAGATTCAAAAGTCCAAAAGAGTTCTAATGTGGGCTCAGTAATGAACATGGTAAACAAACACCCTGGGTGATTATTCTACACTCTGAAATGCCCTACAGAAAAGAGCAACACTTAAAAGCAAGATCCTAAACATATTTCTGACATGTTAGAATTCTCTATAAGTTTATGTTGTTAATACTGCTTTTTGTTTTAAAACAAGTTCCAGGCATTAAGAGAAACGTACGTGCCTCGGAAGTGAACAGGAGAATGTCTATAAACATTTTCCTTTGATGTTTTCATTAGTTTAAAACTAAATTATATAAAGAAAAGACAATGCATGAGTACAAGCTTTGGAAAAGTAATATTTCTCATGAAACGGGGCATCTAAAAATGGTTAAAAGATAATTTCCTAAATGTTTACAAATTCCAAATCATCCTGAATTTAAAACTAGATCATTAACTAAAATTAGAA